ATTTAATGTAAAATATAATACATATATGAAAATTTCACATGTTAAATTGTGATTAATATATTTTTTAATTATAATATTAAATTATATTAAAAATAAAATTTTCAATTAAGTTAATATGTACGTTATTAATATGAAAATTAACACCAGTAATTTAAAATTTTTACATAATTTAATAATTAAAAAATATATTAATTATATTCTTAATTTCTATTATAAGATTACAACTGTTAAAACAGTATGATCATTAATAAAGTGAGGAGTCAGTCACCTGCTCCCTAGAAGGGTGGTATATGTTTGTCGTTGCACCTTCGTTAAGTGAAAGTATACAAAAAAATTATTCTAGTCAGAGAAAGCGACAGACTTACAACTTGCACCTGTCCATTTTTATCTTGGTATTTAATATTGAAAAAATATGTTTTATTTTTTTAAATAAATATTTTGTAATTTAAATTATATAAAATTATAAAATATTAATTATTAATTATTAAATTAAAAAGGCACCTCTAATAATAAAGAGTGTTTTTTTTTATTTAATAATTAATATTTTTATAATTTAATATAATTTAAATTATAAAATATTAAAATTTTTTATTAACGATTTAAATAATTCAATAATCATTTTTTTCATTAGAAGTAAAAGATTTTACATTCGAATTTTATGATATGCGAATAAAGTAGAATAAAAGATGTGAGTTAATTATTTTTTATTGTATAATTAAAATAAAAAAAATTAAAATTTTTTATTTTTTAGCCAATATTATTTTAAATTTTATTTGTAATAAGAAAAGTTAAAATCTTTAAAAACTTGATGTCTTAACATACTCTTTAGTGATTGGTCTTTTATATATAGGCTGCAGATCCCCCCCATTCCCATCGAATGTGGGTAAAGAAAAAATAAATAAAAAAACAAACAAAAATTACACGTGCCCATCATACACGTAGTGTGCCATGTCAGAATTTTTTTTATTATTTAACTAATTAATTATTTTATATATCATATGATATAAATTTAAAAATTCTTATATTTATTAAATAAAATTATCACTAACCTCGTATCATACTCTATTGTTGAGCTCGTTCCCACTTTCAAGTTAAAAAAATGAATTAAAAATTTTAAAATAATAATTTCCATCAGTACTTATCTTTGCCAAACCCTCGAGCAAAGTCATGTCTTTCCTCAAAGGGACCAATCATAGGGTCACAAGATTTGAAAATAAAACTTTCATCCTTCTAAAGTCGTAATGCCATCTTTGTCTCATATAAATACGTAATATTCAAAAAAAAAAAAAAAAACAATTCACAAATCAATTCATCCATCTTTTGTCACAAATTAATTAATCATTTGACATTTTTAAGACGAGTTCTAATATTAGGAGCTCCTTCCCTACCCTAAAAGAAGAAAATAGAATTTTTTTTTTTTTTTTGTTTTTATTCTTTCTACGGGCTACAAGTCTGTTAGAGCCTCACAGCCAGATGCCCAAAGCGATAATTGTGGATTGTGTTTGGGTCAGGCGGCCCGTGCTTCAACAGAAGAAGGTTTAGTCAGAGCCCAAAAGATCAGGACTTACTGACTTAAGGATAGGCCCAAAAAGATTCAATATACGCGTACGTGTACCAATCAGATTTCATATATTTATTTTATGAATTTCTTGGGTTGATGATATGGAAACAATTCTTACATATAATTTTTTTATTTGAAATAATTTTTATATGTTATTAAATAAATTAATATATAATATTAAAAATTTTAAATATATAAAAAAATTAATTATTAAATAACGCATAAAATCATATAAAAAATTAATTTTTAATCATTCTTCATTCTTTTTCTGCTTTTTAAGCTGTAGTTAGGTACACATAAATTTGTTATTTTTAAATAGATATTTTATCAATTTATAATTTT